AATAAGATAACAAAGTCGCATAAATATGTTCCTATCAATAACCCATGCAAAGCTTGTTCTCAAGAGAAGTTGGTAATTAGACCATCACAACTAAAGGTTGATGCTGAATCCCTATCATTTCTGTAAAGAATTCAAAGGGATATTTGTGGTCCTATTCAACCATCCTGTGGACCATTCCGATATTTTATGGTTTTGGTTGATGCATCTACCCGATGGTCACATGTTTGTCTCTTGCCTACTCGGAATGTAGCTTTTGCAAGACTTCTTGCTCAGATAATTAAGTTGTAAGCATAGTTCCCAAATTACCCCATTAAGTCAATTCGACTTGATAACGCTAGTGAATTTACGTCTCAAACTTTTGATGATTACTGCATGATATTGGGAATTGATGTTGAACACTCTATTCCTTATGTCTATACTCAAAATGGTTTAGCAGAAGCATTAATCAAGCGGTTTCAGTTAATAGCCCGCACTCTGCTCATGAAAACAAAATTGCCAGTGTCTGTATGGAGACATGCCATCCTACATGATGCATCATTGGTTCGATTAAGACCTATAGCCAACCACCAATACTCCTCAATAGAACTCGTATTTGGACATCAGCCAAACATTTCACATTTACGAGTTTTTGGTTGTGTTGTTTATGTACCTATTGCATCACCGCAACGCACTAAAATGGGACCTCAGCGCTGATTGGGAATTTATGTAGGTTTTGATTCACCATCTATCATTAGATATTTGGAACCCTTGACAGGTGATATGTTTACAGCTTGTTTTGCTGATTGTCACTTTGATGAGACAGTCTTCCCATTGTTAGGGGGGAAAAGGATGTTCCAGAAGAACGACAAGAGCTGACATGGGTTGTTCCCACCTTATCTCATTTTGATCCTCGAAGCATTCAATGTGAAAATGAAGTAAAAATGATCGTTCATCTTCAACGTATTTCCAATCAAATGCCAGATGCATTTAATGATGTTATGAAAATGACAAAATCACATATACCAGCTGCAAATACACCTGCAAGAATTGATGTCCCTATTGGACAAAATAAAGTGGTAGCGAATGATTCATCTAGTGTACTCCTGAAGCGTAGTAGACCTGTAGGTTCAAAAGATTTAGCCCCTCAAAAGAGAAAGATAAGGGCACAACTGAATCCAAATGAAATCATTCAAGAAGAGAAAATGAATGACAAATCCATAATTCATGATTTTGTACTTTCAGAAAAAGAAAATGTCCTTGATGAGACGCATGTACCTGAAGACACAGAGGTACATAAAGCAAAGAAATCTTCATAAATTATGCTTGTACTAATGAATTGTGGGATTGGAATGAAATAATCATCAACGACATGTTCGCATTCACAGTAGCCAATGAAATCATATTAAGTGATGATCTTGAGCCCTGCTCTGTTCATGAATGCAAACAGAGACAAGATTGGCCTAAGCGGAAAGATGCAATCTAGGTAGAATTAAATTCCTTGGAAAGGCGAAATATTTTTGGACCAGTAGTCCAAACCCCGCCTGGTGTAAACCTCATGGGTTACAAATGGGTATTCACAAGAAAACGCAATGAGAAAAATGAGATTGCAAGATATAAATCACGACTCGTTGCACAAGGTTTTTTGCAAAGACCTGGAATTGATTATGAGGATACATACTCTCCTGTAATTGATGCAATTACATTCCGTTACTTAATAAGTTTAGTGGTTTCAGAAAAACTTGACATGCGACTTGTGGATATCATCACCGCGTATCTATATGGAGAATTAGATATTGACATGTATATGAAAGTCCCAGAAGGACTTAAGTTGCCTGAAACAACTAACAAACCACGAGGTATGCTCTCAATCAAATTAAGGCAATCATTGTATGGGCTGAAACAATCTGGACAAATGTGGTACAATCGTCTCAGTGAGTATTTGATCAAAGAAGGGTATATCAAAAATGTCATTTGCCTTTGTGTGTTCATTAAGAAATCTAACTCTGGATTTGTTATAGTGGCAGTATATGTCGATGATATGAACCTAGTTGGAACCCCTGAAGAGCTCAATAAAACTGTTGAATATTTGAAAAGCGAATTTGAAATGGAAGACCCAGGTAAAACAAAATTTTGACTCGGCCTACAGATCGAGCATTGTGCTAGTGGAATTTTGGTCCACCAATCAACTTCCATTGAAAAAATCCTGAAGCGATTTGGCATGGACAAGGCTTATCCACTAAACACGCCAATGGACGTTTGTTCTCTAAACATTAAGAAAGATCCATTCCGTCCAAAAGAAGATGATGAACTGGTCCTTGGTCCAAAAGTACCATATCTCAGCGCAATAGGTGTTTTATTGTATTTAGCACAATGTACTAGACTAGATATAACTTTTTCAATCAACTTGTTAGCAAGGTATAGCTCTGCTCCAACAATTCGTCATTGGAAGGGAGTTAAGGATGTATTGCGATACCTTCATGGGACAACAGACATAGGTTTCTTCTACTCAAAGAAATCCATAAATGACCAGGTCCTTATTAGATATGCAGATGCTGGTTTTCTTTCTAATCCGCATAAAGCTTGTTCACAAACTGGATATGTGTTCAAGAATGGAGATGCAATAATCTCTTGGCGCTCAACAAAGCAAACATTAGTTGTTACGTCTTCAAATCACTTAGAAATACTCGCTTTACATGAAGCAAGTCGTGAATGTTCTTGGTTAAGATCAATGATCCATCATATCCGGAATTCATGTGATCTCCCTTCAAAGATAGACAGTCCAACTGTCATTCATGAAGATAATGTAACCTGTGTTGCCCAAATGAAATAAGGATTCATCAAGGGCAATAAGATTAAACACATATCTCCAAAGTTTTTTAATGCACATGAGCTTTAAAAGGCTAAAATTATTAAAGTCAGACAAATCTGTTCCAATGAAAATCTGGCAGACTTGTTCACCAAGTCTCTACCAAAGTGCACGTTTCAAAAGTTAGTACAAAGTATCGGATTATGTCGACTTACTAATCAGCTAAATTTGAAAAATGTGGAATGAGGAAAAGATCTATATCAGGGGGAGCATCCATGATACATGCATGTTGTACTCTTTTTCCTTCGATTAGGATTTTTCCCACTGGGTTTTCCCTATCAAGGTTTTAACGAGGCAACATTAGCATACTTAACTCTATATCAACAATCCAGATCAAGTTGTACTCTTTTTCCTTCGCTATGGTTTTTTCCCATTAGGTTTTTCTAAGCAAGGTTTTAACGAGGCAACTAATGTTGATATGTGGGCATCCAAGGGGGAGTGTTGAAAACATTGGCAATGTTTAAATCGTTGGCAGCTTAATGAATGCCCACATAGTTTTTTCAATACCCCACACAAAGTGATGTAGACTTTAGAAATAAAGGTGATTGTTTTTTCTAAGTCATGTGCTGTAAATTTCAAAATATGTTCATATGGAGTTGCTTTATAAATAGAGCACTCCAACTACTATCAAAACACACAGAAAACAAAAGGGAAAGATTATTAACATCAGTATCTATTCCTTCCTCTTTTATTTGTCATCCCCTTGAATTATAGTTACAGTGTGATATTTTACCCCTACTGCACTCTTATCACTCGTAAAGGTTATCTCTCTAACTTTTACCTATTTATAACAGAAATTAAATTTTACACAAGGGTTAAGCCGCGCTAAATGACATTTCCTTTTATAAATACAAAGTGGCAGATGACATTTAAAGACCCCTTCAAATTAACACACAAATTGTCATGCGCAAAGCTTCTCAACAACCCTGAGATTTTTTCCTCTCCCCTTTTCTTCTCGCCAACACATCTTCAGTTTGGATAGATAGCACAGTGAAGGCAACCGGCGACATTTTCAGTTTGGATAGACAACACTGGAGCCATAGAATCAGCCAACCGAGGATCACCTTTAGTTTGGATACACAGCACTGTTTCGAGACCGACTGGTTATTTATCCAAGTCTCAGTCAACAAGGATTTTCGAGTCCTTGTTGGTAGAGGTCATCTCATCAGCCTTGTCGACGAAGTGAGGTGTTACCAGCTTATTACATTTGGCACATTGAAAGCCGAATTTGAAATTGACTTTCACAGAACTAGCAACCTTGTCTTCAGGCTCTAGAACCCGAAAGCCGAGACGTGTTCCTTCCTCGGCCGCAGTCTCAAGATCAAGAAGTTAGCAGCGTACCCAATGCCACATCAACATATTTTACTCCCCGGCCGAACTCGGCCGACGAGTTGGCACACCCCGCATACAACCGAAGGACATAGTTAGCTTATTAATTACTCAGCCTGCGCGCCACGTAGGCTTGGTAATTTTTAGGGTCAACATCCACGTAAACTAAGTAGTTTTAGAGTCAACACAAGCATAGTAATGCACTAGAATTCATATAATCAAACCCACTTACTGAAATAAGGCTTGTTTGCGTTCTATTTTATGAGGAAAACGATGGAAAGGTTTCCTTTTTCCATTCCAGAAGTGGATAAGCCTATTATGAAGAAGCTGTAGAAGAACACCACCACGAAAAAAGAAGAAAAATCCTATCCCTGTAGGAGTGCTTGAAAGGATATTACTATGCGGTTGTCAAGCTCATATCTCGCTATTTGGCTGGAAAAGACAGTCTGGAAGCTTCCTCTCTCCCCCACGAACTCCTGTTGGAATGAGTGGGCCCGAACGATTTCTACGCTTTTCAAAAAAAATATCTAAAATCACAAACACTTTTTTGATTATGGATCTACTACTAGAAATTCAATGCGTAATCTTAGCATTCAATGGAATATTTTAGGGAGTTTTAACAAAAAACTCACGGTACTGTTCACTTTAATGAAAAACCACATTTTTACACTAAAAAGTCAATTATAATACTATTCACTTTATCCTTTATTTTGTCCTTATCATTAAAACTCAAAATTTTCAAGTTTTTTTTATTAGTTTTCCTAATAATTTACCACATTATGCATCTCCCACTTAAAATGGTACGATCATTAGCAAGTTTCCTGAATTAAAAAGAATTTTTTATCTTATTAAACAAATTGCCCCAATTAAGGAGGCAATAAATAGAATTTACACAACTATGATTTCTTTTCCCTTTCACGCTAACTAAAATACTCCTTTTGTTTTTGGTCCAAAATTTAATTAAAATACTTCCAATCCATACAATACTCCAGCGTGTTGCTCGGGCCCGCCATGCACAAAGTACACGTCCCTCATCTTCTGGAACGCATGCCATGTCAACAAGCTATCTGAACCGGCCTGGTGGCACTTCCCGACTGCCCGGTCCACCTCTAAGGTTCTCGCAACCCGGTCCAATCCGCCGTACAAGCTTTTGCAAAATCGCATCATGTGCTTGACGTCATAAACCTTATTACCGAAAAAGACCCTCAGAATTTTCAGAAATTCGTTCAAGCCACTCGGCAAGTCCCGGCGCGTGAGAATCTTCACCAGGTACCCGAAGTCGTAGGCGCTGTGAAACGTGACCCAACTCACCGAGTCGTTGCAGACGAGTCCCGACGACATCATCAGCTCCGCGAAGCGCGAGGAGTCGACGCCGTGGGAGCGGTTGCGGTCGAAGTCGATGCCCTGGCGGCGGAGGAGTTCGATGGAGTCGGGAGCGTGGGGGTCACGCGCGACGTCGAAGTCGTTGAAGTTGAATTCCCAGATGAAGCGCGTGGGGGAGCCGAGGTCGGGGAGGTTACCGCGGGAGTCGGAGAGGGTTAGTCCGACCTGGATGAGGCTGAGGGCGTCGACGTTGGATTTGAGAATCCTGTAGTGATCGGAGGGCCGGAGGGTCTGTCGGGAGTAGGGAGTGGTAGGGTCGACGGGGGGCCGGAAGACGACGCCGGGAAACTCGGTGTCCATGGAGATGAAGGGGTAGGCGTCGATGACGTTTTGGATGAGCTCGAATTCGGATTCCAGATTGTGGGCCCAGACTTCACGGATCACGATGGGCTTTTGGATCGGAGTCGTCGGATCTTGGTCGCCGTACATGTCGGAGAAAAATAACTGGAGACAAAATGGTTTTTATTTTTATAATTTTATTTTGTTGGAGGAGCTGAGAGAGGAGGAGCTGAGAAGGTTTGAGAAGGCTGAGAGTGATGAGGTGAGTTTTATAAAGGGGGGGGAGAGAGAGAGAGAGAGAGGAGTGAGAGATGGTGCTGGGAAATTGGATAAAGGAGGGGTGGAGGCGTGTAAGAGGAGTTTGAATAATAAATAATAATATTAAATAACAGGGTGGGGTAGGAGTAAGGGGTGAAAGAGCGAATATGATCATTTCAGGATTTTAAAAATCATTTCATCGTGTCTGTTTATCTTTTATCGTGAGGTTATAAATTATTTTAATTTTTTTATTTAAAATTGAATACAAACAGTAACTGATGAAAAATGATTACATAATATACAATAAACGAGTAGGATAAAATGATACCGGAGACCTCACAAAAGAATCCTGAGAGCATCCTAATCGTGAATGGGGTCAAGTGTTGAATGAATGCGTTTTTCCGTGTTGACTGAAACAGTCAAATGGAGTAACAGAAAAAAGGAGGTGAACAGAAATGGTCCAGGTTGGCTTCTTCTTTTGCCCATTCTGTCCCTTTCATTCCCACAGTTCAATTCAATGCATGATTGATGAAACAGTTGAATGAATGAACCTGTTGCTATCCATCCATGTGTGTTGTATACTTCTTTTCTTATGGTATCATCTTGCAAAGTTTTTCTTTTCATAGTTTGCTCTTTTTGTGCAGGCCTCATTATCTAAGGTATAATCTTTTTTGAGAATTTTTAGTCAAAATTATTCGTGATCAATTTTCAAAACTTCATTTTGATGATTGAAATCGGTAAAATATAATTCATTTAATAAAATTTAAAAGGTACGGGTTATGCTATTCCTCTTTATATAGCACTATGACATTATCTATTCTAAAACTAAGGAGAGATTTACTGTTCATTGGGCTACAGTCAAATGTTTGCCCCTCGATTTCATCTTATTTACAAAAAAACCATGAACATTGGGCTGGGTTTGAAGGATATTATTTGAACTGATAAGGGTGATTTTGTCCGGAGGGTTTAGGACGAATTACCCCTTCATTTCATCTTATTTGCAAGAAACCCATTATTTGTAGACTAGGTTGGAAGGGCAATTTTGTCCTCTGGGTTTTGAGTCAATTAAAGGGTTTGCCGTGTAAGGGTCGCACTTACTGTCTTTCATTTATGGTTTCGGGGAAATGAAGCTCTCACAGAGAGCGGAAGAAACGGAGAGACAGACAGAGAGACAGACAGAGAGAGAAAGAGAGAGAGAGAGACAGAGAGAGAGAGAGATTTCGAGGGGAAGACAGCGCAGGGAGAGGTATGGCTGATGGATTTCAGAAGTGGGAAAGTGGGTGATATCTTCTCGGTTTTGACTGAGTTCGAGGGTTGTTGTGTGCTGTCCTTCGATGAGGGTTTCGGGGGGATGGAGACTGTGACAGAGAGCGGAAGAAAGAGAGAGAGAGAGATAGAGAGAGAGAGAGATGACGATGGAAGAAGAGCGAAGGGGAAAGGTATGAGTCGTCGATTTCAGAAGTGGGGATACGGATTATCCGGATCTACCGCTGCATGCCTGGATTTCGAAAGATAAGTGCTTTAAAATTTTTTTTTTTCTATCAGCTTAGATCTGCCTGTTTGTTGTGGATTATTTTCGAATTTTTTAGTGTATTAGGTCAGATTTTGGGGGAATCATCAGAGATATTTATTTCCCTTATAAGTTTTCTTTTCTCTCATTTTGCACATTGATCTCTCTGTCTGCGCATTTGTTCACAGAGAGCGGAAGAAACCGAGAGACAGAGAGACAGACAGAGAGAGAAAGAGAGACAGAGAGAGGCAGAGAGAGAGAGATGTCGACGGGAAGACAGCAGGGAGAGGTATGGCTGTTGTCTGCAGTTTCATTTGCTGTCCTTCAAGGAGGGTTTCGGGGGGATGGACTGTGACAGAGAGCGGAGAAATTAAGCTCTCACAGAGAGCGGAAGAAACGGAGAGACAGAGAGACAGAGAGAGAGAGAAAGAGAGAGAGAGAGACAGAGAGAGAGAGATGCCGAGGGGAAGACAGCAGGGAGAGGTATGGCTGTTGTCTGCAATTTCATTTGCTGTCCTTCAAGGAGGGTTTGGGGGGATGGACTGTGACAGAGAGCGGAAGAGAGAGAGAGAGAGAGAGAGAGAGAGAGACAGAGATGACGATGGAAAGAGAACGAAGAGGAAAGGGGAAGCTACATGCCTGAATTTCGAAAGCTAAGTGCTTTTAAAATTTTTTTTTTTCCTATCAGCTTAGATCTGGTTTTTTGTTGTGGATTATTTTCGAATTTTTTAGTGTGTTAGGTCAGATTTTAGTGGAATCATCAGAGATATTTATTTCCCTTATTAGTTTTCTTTTCTCTCATTTTGCACATTGATCTCTCTGTCTGCCTGTTTGTTCTCTCACAATTCCCTGCTTCTGTCGCTCTTGAACCTCGATTCCTTTCGCTCTCCAAGGCTACCTTCTCTCCCTCTTCCACCGTGCGATCTTTGTCTCACAAGTTACCAACCACACTTTCTTGCTAAAAAACCTTCACTGCTTTCTCTGTTGCTAGAGGTTGCTTTCTCTTCTGCTCTCGCAGGGCCTTCAGTTCTCACTTAGATTCCAGAGTAGAAGCCCAGAAAGCTAATATGGCAAAGCGAGAGCTTTCCAGCACTCTCAGGAACTTAAAAGGTGAAAAGAAACGATAAAATTTTGGTTTTTTATTTATTGTGAGTGTTAATTTCTGATTAAATTATTATTTTTGATAAACCCTTTTAGAATCTGATCTAGGTTTTGCTTAAATTCATCTTGGTGTTGTTTAATTTTGAGTTATATAATTTTCTGGTGGACCTTTAATTGTATTTACAGATTAATACAACGTAATTGGGTTATTTTTTTAATTACTGTAGTTTATGCAAAGAGCAACTTAGAAAGAGGTGAAGAAAGAAGAAGATGTCAAACCATACCTTATCACCTCAGGTACCTTTTAGACCTATTGCATGTCAAAATCAGCTTCAAATTTGTGATTTAATATAATTGAATTTTAACAAGTTTTTAGTGATTTTGTAGAATTTTACGTTTAATAACCAAGTGGATTACTTTACTTGGTTGGACCTGTTTTTATAGCTATATTTCAACCTTTCCTCTGATAGCTTTTAACGATTGGATTTCTCGAGTCTACTTTCCATGCTTTGACCATTTCATTTGGCTGAGGGTTCTGGGTTTTGGAGAATTCTTCATTAAATTGGTGGGTTTGTAGAATTGTACCCTTATATTTCTGGGTTTGGTTTTATGTCAGTTTAATAAATTTTTTTAGGTTTTGCAGAATTTTTTGTGATTAAATTTCTGGCTTAAGTAGCGGTTTTTGAGGTTGTGGTCTCCAAAAAAAAGGTAATTTTTACATTAATTCTGTGAAAATTTGTACATATCAATGTGTTAGAATATTTAAGGGAATTTAAAATAAAATATGGTATTGGTATTGGTGGGGACGATGTATGGGAATTTTTCAAGGATTATTGGAATCTCATGGTAAGGAGTGATGTAGAAACTTATAGCTGCAGCAGTTGATGCAGGTTTCCTTTCTATGAACCTGATTTTGGATGGGGAAAGCCACCATGGGTGACTTCAGGTACGGAGTTCAAGAATCTGATTGTGTTAATGGATACACGAGATGGAGATGGCATAGAAGTATCCTTGAATCTCAAGGAAGAAGACCTGGCCATATTTGAAAGCACTAAGGAGCTGCTTGAGTATGCATCTTTAAATCCAACTGTAATTTTGTTTAGTATTGTTGAACCTTTTATGATCTTTCATTGTTTTGTTTCTTGCTTCTGTTTTTCTTAGGTGTGTACTAAATTGGATGTTGGTTTGGTTGTTTCCAATCTTTCCCCACGACTTTCGATACCCAATAGAGAATATGAAAAACCCAACTTTAATTTTGTAAATTTATTGTCCTAAATGAAGGTAACATGGGAATTTGTTCTGAATGGTGTTCAAAGAACTTCAAACTCAACTTTGTCCTGAATGATGATCTGTTCTCTGGATGTTTGATATCAATTTTTTATCTGCTCAGAGTGATCTGATTTACATCTTTTGCTAGGGTGCTAATGTGCCTCCACCATTCAATTCATTTGAATCTACTGGTCTCCCATATGAGATTCAGAGGTATGGAATTATTCTTCTGTTTTTGTCTCTTTTGTGTAATCCTGGTAAAGTTACCTGAGTGTTTTGTGCAAAGTTATGTGATTGCTAGAGGTCCAATGTTGAGTTCCTCTTAACAATTGAGCTCTTTTTGTCACTATTCATATTGCAGGTTTTGAGCTTCCACAAATTTCAAGGCGTTCAAACTTTACTCTCGAATGAAATGGTAATTAAATTTCTTAAAATTATAGTTTATTACTATAAAAGATAAAGACTTATTTTCTCAGCATTGTAATCTATGTATGTTTACACGTTATCCAACTTGCTTCTACAAAATCAAAATACTTATATCCACCTACAGAATTCTGTTGAAGAAGTGAGATTTTTAAACTGCAGTTTTTCTTTAATTATTCACAAATGTATGTACAAGTTAACGAAAAAACATGTATGCTTTTTTGGTGAATTTAATTTGAATTGTTAAATTTTGGTAACAAAAAAACCTATGATAAATTAAAAGACTATCATTAAATAAGATTTTCTGCTCAGTGTACCTCTATATAGTTCTATTTGAACTCACATTTTTTTTTTTAATTTAAATTTTATTTCTCTGCATAGTCCGGAAAAATTCTGCTTTCCTAATCATTTCACACAATTTTGTTTAGTTTTAAAAGTTTTGCTATAATTTTCTCTGATGAAAGGACATTCTGTGACAAAAACCAGGATCAATTTGTTTGCAGCTTGAAGATTTTTACTTTCACCAAGTTTATCTTCAACTCCAGGTATTTTCTCCCATTGACAACTTAAAATCAACTGAACTGCACCTCTATACTTGCATAACTCTGTTTTTCTCTCCTCCTTAAATTCATATATGGAGATAGGAAGTTTAAGAATCTTTGTTCCTGCTAATAGGTTTAATAATCGTGACATTTGAATGATCTTTGTTTCCAGGAAAATGATTTTAAAGAATTGTAGCTGTGATTCAGAAAATAGTTAGATTTTTTAAAGCTGACACAGGTTTTTATGAATATCAGGCTTTGAAATACAATGTTGTTCTAGGCTGTCATCTAGATTCCCAATCACATGTTTCCACGGCGGTTTCAAAGAGGTCCTTGAGACGATCAGATGCTGTACTCAGCTGCCACCATTATAATAAGGTTAGGTGTTGAGGTTTTTCCTTAACTTATTTTTCTCTTGGAATATGAAACCCTATGTTTTTCCTGCATGTTGGTACATGTAAATAACACAATGGTTCATAATCTTTTATTTAGAGTTTAATAAATATGATAAAAGTGGATCATAATTTTTACAATAACCTAACATGGCTATTTTTGAAGGTAAGACCGAGCGTCATTCTCTTGGTCACTAGATGCCTTGAGAATTTATAGTCACTCACCCAACTTGGGATTTGAGTAATCATGAATAACTCGATTTTGTGTTACTATGTGATGCGGTGGTGAGAGGACTTTGGTATGGGAGGGAGGACTAGAGAGAGATGTTTAGATTTGAGAAGGGTAATTGGTATTGAAAATTGAGATGCCTATATACCATGGCAGGGTCGGTTCCAGCTTTTTCTTTTCCTTGGTATGCATTATTTGTCCCTTTCTTTTAATTTGTTAGTTTAATTTATTCCTGCAATTTTGTATGAACTATATGTGTGTAGTGATAGATTGTAAGGTGATTGAGATTTGTGCAGGTAATTACTATAAATACAAATGGATGGTGCATACAAATTACTATAACTTCAAGAAAAAACAAAACAGACCCAGATACCAATTCACTTCAGTCCTCAAACATCTCGATCCATTCCAGCTTTTTCTCTTCCTTGGTATGCATTATTCCTCCCTCTCTTCTCTTAATTTTTTCTTTTTGTTTAATTATTTCTGGAATGTTGGAACCTGAATTTCCAGAATTATTGTGATTTTGGAACCCTAATTTGGGATGCATGTAAATGTAAAGTCTTATATATTTGGTCTTTGCTTACAACCTCTCTCTGCTCTTTTTCTCTCTCTCTCCAAAACTCAATTTTGAAGTTGTCATGCATTTTTTATTTTTATTATCACTGTCACCTTTTGATTTGCCTTATGGTTTTATCATCGTACATCATTAGTTGACTACTGTCTTTGTTTTCTTCTGCAGCATGGAGAGCTGTACAAGGCACTTTCTGCAATTTATTGCAAAATAATGTCAGTTATCCCTTCTTTGGATACAACTCAAACTGGGAGCAAGTCTGGTATCCAAGCTTTACGTTCGTTGCATGTAGCACATGAAAAGTCTAAGAATGTAGTAAGCTTTATTTGGCAGGTATTCCCTCAATAGTTAAGGAAACAATTATTTTCCCCTTTCTGCTTTGAAGGAATAGAATTCTCTTTAGATGTTTAAATTTGTTTCATTCATGATGAGGTTGTGTATAAATTGCATTTGCATTTGTAACTCAGTTTTTGACTCGAACATTGTTTATAAAGATTGCAGGTGCATAATTTTTCATATAATTTTCAATCCCGCAGCAACGCGCGGGTGCAAATTCTAGTCATTTTACTAAACATGTTGTAAATGTTATTTATAAGATGGTTGTCCATATTCTAGGGTCTATGTAATATGCTAATAGTTTAGTCCTTATTGTAGTAAATACGGAAAATCCTAAGTGACGTTAGGGGGAAGAAATGATAGTTTCAAGAAAGCCGTGGATCAACGTTGATACATACACTCTCGTCTCATAAGACTTTGGGCTCCCCACAAATGGAGATTAATAAAGTTCAAGCCCTAATTGAAAATAACTTTCTACATGAAAGTTTGATCCAATTCTATTAAGTAATTCAAATTAAGATGTTTGTTCTAGATGTGGCAATGGAAGCCCTAAAGAAGCATTGTACCCAAGCAATGAAAAACTTATAAATTAAGCATGCGCATGCGCATGCGAATGAGAGTTGTTGGGTCACAAATTGATGATACTAGATAATTTTTATTATAGTAGCTACTCACATCATCAAGGGCTCTTCAATAACGTTTTCCCATTAAATGTCGACAAACCATAAAAGGTAAATTCCATTTTTGAGAGGGACTAAAAAAACGTGAAATAAGTGAACTTGTAATTTAAACCCAAAAAGTTACTCTTGGGTGTTTGTATTAAAGTGAAATAAAATCATTGTATGGCATATGCTTCTTGGTATAGACATAATCTACTATTATAAGTGCAACCACATTTTTATAAGTACAATGTCATCTTAAACATGAGACTTATAGCATGTGGAAACTGCATACTACTTGAGTTTTTAAGTTTTTGTATCTTTCTCGAAGTAATTTCATAAAGAATAGAGAATTCCATGAAATTCTTATTCAAATATTTCAATTGAAGAGCACATAGCTCAAAATATCTACTCAATACCTATTCTAGATAAATTTGGTATATATTACCTTAATGAGTACTTTTGTTAGTTCGAATTGAATTATGTTGTTGCAAACATACCCTTAAAAGATTTAAAAGTTATGATACAACTCTTGAAGAACCTACAAGGCTATTTGCATATATGGTTTATATTACCATGGACTTGTACACTACTACTAGTATATTTTATATCCTAAATTTTGTATTTATTTGTTCTTTGCAAGAACACAAATGGTTGTTGTCAACTCCCGATAGACTTTCGCACTTCCCCATGTCAAGTTCTACTCAAATTTAATTTCTTGAAGGCCGAAGTCACATTACTTCAAACTTGACAGTGATGACCAGTCAAATCAAGACTTACTGTCATAAGGAGGAGTCACTTATTTAGCGGAGTTATTCATTAGGGATACTGTTCTACAATATATTATAATGGACATACAAGCGCATTGTGCTCTTTTCCTCTCGACCAGGTTTGTCCCGTCAAGGTTTTAGCTAGGCAACATGTCCAACACCATATCAATATTTCATAATCGTGGTGCCTGATTTTTCTCCTTGCTTAGATTTTTCCCATCGAGTTTTCCAAGAAAGGTTTAATAGTTTAGTCCTCATTGTTGTAAATATGGAAAATCCTATAGGCAATCTAATGAGAAGAATGGAACACTTTTATTTCCTCCTCCTAATCCCTCTCTTGTCTCTCTATTCTCTCTATATTTTTATTTCAAACAGTACAGACATTATAGTTTGAACAATTCATACCCTTTATCATCGTCTAAAGAATATCTCTAGAACATTGCACTCAAATCGGAGGTCGCTTAGTCATTCATAAGAATTTTCTTAGAGATGATATTTAGATGATGATAAAGAGAATGAAAAACTCAATTGTAACGTTTGTACAGTAAAATGTTATCACGTCGTCATGCAAGAAGAAATAAAGACAATAACCGTAACAAACATTTAACTAATTCGATTTTAAATTTTAGTTATCATCATTTTTGACAAAAAATATAGTTTATATTAGAAACTACAATAGAATGATGCTTCAAAGCATCTCCAATGAAGTCCCTAACTAAGGACAATCACTATAAAGTAAGTATAAAACAAATACAGGAACAAAATGAATCTTTAATAGATTGAAAAGTGAATCCCTAAAGTATAGGGTACCAACGAAGATTATGGGCCACATCATCGATTTTGGCTAGTGATAACACAAATGTTTCTTTTTGACAACTTGTTTTACCAAGCGGATGAAGTCTGTAGTGGTCTTATTTCTCTCATCCATATATTCCTGGTTGACTCTTCTTACTTTTGAACAAGTCTGCTATGTTTTGCGGATCAGGATACTCTGTTGATCTTAGGAGGCTAAGCCTCCTGAACAAATAACACGGTCTGTTGGATCAAAATCAACTGGCTACAATTATTATAATTTTTAATGGAGTCCTTTGTTTGTAGCTGTTGGATTTTGATCCAACGGCCAGTATGATTTGCTTAAGAAGCTCAACCTTGTAAGCTCAAGAGAGGATCCTGATCCATGTTTAGCAATAACAATTTAGCTCTTGAAAAACAAAAATTAATTAATTCATAAGACGGAAGTAGGTATCAACTAACACTTTAGGTTGGTCAACAATATCAACTAACTTGACTTTTAGTCTTTCTTGGGGAATGCATTATTGTGCCCTTATGCTGGACATATAGTATACACAAATTTATTTAAAATTTAGTTTATATTTTACGCTTGCTAAATTTGAAATGATTCTTAAAATGAGTCAGGATGTTTTATTATTTTTCTATCACATCTTAAGATAATAAAATTATTTTATTTCATATCTTTAGTTTAATTGATTGTATGATAATTCAACGAATTAATGTTGACGTAACTTGAGACTCTTATTTGAGCTAATGTGTAAGACACATTTACACTAATTGATAAAAAAATAAAAAAATAAAAAAATAAAACTTATCAATTTAAAAAATGACTTTAAACATGAAAAGTATAAAATGTAGGTTGCCTTTAAAGCAATGTTGTAATAGCAAGTGGCCATCGACCATAGTGGTAGATAGAAGTGTTGTCTTTGTATTACGATGTGTGTCTGAAACTCATCAACTCTCTAATCCAATAAATTTATCGTTTGATTAAAGGAAAAAAAAATTAAATAAAAAAGTAATGTTGTAATATTATTAATATTGTAAATTAGCTAGTTGATTGGATTGATTAATTGTATTGTTTGATTTGTGTTAAATAGTTAATTAAGAAGAGGTCGATTGCAAGCAAGTTGTGTAAAACCAATGATTGAGAACGCTTAAAAGCGTGTCAACTTCAAAAGGAAAGACTTTGGAAGCTCTGCATCAACTTCCAGCCGGCTTCTTGCTTCACAGTCAAATAAACTTGCGCGCGTTTTGAATATATATAATTACAGTATTTGTCCATGTGCTAAAGCTAAATCATGTTTATAGAGAGACGGAGTTTTTAGTCGATGGCTTCTTGCTTCTTTGTGAAATAAACTTCCATGCATATGTATTCGGAACTCATTTGTGATCTATCTATCCTTCACGTGAGGCCGTCAGTGCACGTTGGAAAATTTAATATTATTATATAATATTAAATTTATTAATTGAATGGATTGGAAATTAAAAGGGAGTTTCTCGATGAAAATGAAGAGTTGCAACATTTGATTCTTCATGAATAGTTATATATTTTAGGTCATGTTTTAAAAAGAGACATCTTTATTTCTATTAATAGGCAAGTCCCCTTGTAGTCATTTAGTAACCATTTCTATCATACGCATAATCATACATATAGTGCACAAGATATTAGAATGTCATTAGTCCATATGTGAGAGTTTTCAACATCTTTGTGGTTCATTGGTGCGTTGTAATTTTGAGTGCTACTATTAAGAAAACTTGTCGTTGTATATTTGCAAACAAGCGCTAATCAGCCATGAGAACTGTAACTACTACAAAAGAGGCTATCATTGGCGGTGTAAAAGTCGACAAGAAACCTTAAGTACTGTCGGATTTTTGGTAAAAATCTGACACCAAATCGTGCAATGTCGGATAGGGGAATCGACGACATTGCTAGCATCATGAAAAGGGTATTGACGTCGATTAGTCCCCTTAATCCGCCATGAAGAAGGAAAGCAATATAAAATAAAAAAGGATCGTAACATCGGTTAAAAATGACATCTAGGCTCACGTCAGATAAAGGCGACATTAAGTACTGACAATGACTATTGGATGGAGCAAACTGGTGTCAGTCCTAACCGACACCACCTAATAATTTGATAATAAAATAGCCACTATAATGTCACCCATAAGCGACACCACAAACCATTAATAAATAATAATAATAATAATAATAATAATAAAAAGTCTATCTTAGTTTTTAACTGCTTCGTTCATGCATTTCTGCAAATATATTGTCGCTCATGCATTTCTGCAAATATACTATACATTTCTTCACTGCTTTGTTCCATCTCCCAATAGACCAAAATCACTAGCTCTTGAACAATTGCTTGCACATTCAAGTTATCTAATGCACATAAACCAAACACAATTTATAATTACTTGATTAAATTAAAAAATGGAAGAATTGAAATTTATAAAAATTAAAACAATAAAATAAAAAAGATGAAGCTTAATTACCCTAAGTGAAAAGCAACCCATCTGAGGCAGCAAAGGCGGTGTCCTAGCGGTTGCAAGCAATGTCCAGCCAACACCAATTAGCCTCCGCCATGCACCTAAAAAGCTTCGGAGAGTTGCTTTGGGATCTTCAACTGCTACTTCTTCCCATTCTGACCCGTCTGCTCGAACTTGCTATATCTCCACACGTAAATCGCCCTCTTTGTCAGAATGCTCATTGGCCGGTTGCGACCCAGAACTCATCAATGTCCATTTCCATAAATTCCCTTCACAAACTGAACCACAAAGTTTCAAGTTAACATTTGACAAAAAATTAACAAATTTTAATCCAATTGAAGGAGAAAGTTGGGAGCTTTACAAAATGGGTTCTCTATTTGGTTACCGAGGAAATGGAAGAGTGGTGAATTGGGATTTTATTAGTAGCCAACCTGAGAGAGAGAGAGAGAGAGAGAGAGAGAGAGAGAGAGTGGT